AACTAAGTGAGCCACAGAAAAACTAACTAGGCGAGCTGGCGATTAGCAATAAAAGAATCTAACTCTGAAAGAGAGAAAGTAAAAGCTGAAAGAAAAAGGCCAAGCTCTAAAAACTACCAAAAGTAAAAACTAAATACCCTGAAAACCTGTAAAAGAGGGAAAAACAGCAAAACATAAAACACAAACACCAAAATCAAAAAAGGTGGCTCACCAACGACTACTTAAAAGCATGCATGACATAAAAAATAATGCTGGACGTCTCAACATCAGAAAGTGATTAATCAAGAGCGTTAACTCATTCACTGGAACATCTCACCGCAAAAGCCACCAAAACCCCCTCCGTTGTAGTGTGATCCGTCTAACCCAGGGGTCCCGTCCCAGTTCATCAAGTCACTCTTTTTAGAATTCTGTCCTCCCTTGATGCTGGCGGGGGATATAGGCGCAAATAGACCTGGTTAACTCCTGTCAATTCAATCCCCTTAAGTGGTAGCGTGGGGGGAAACTGAATCATTAATAGGGGTGTTCCAGTCTGAATACCACTTTCTGACGTTCAGCCTAACCATATGATAAAATACATACTAAAAAGTAATCTAAGAAAATTACAAAAGTGAAAGAATGTGCTAAAGGCACCTAAAATTACTGATTGTCGTATGCAAAAACTAAAAGAAAAAGACCCAGAGTGGAGAGCCTGGCTGAAGGCCTTACCATAAAACAAAGACAAAACCAGCAAGTCTGGTGTCAGAGATGAAGGCTTAAAACCCCTTAAACCTAAAAGAAAAAAATACGACAGTATAAAACCCGAGTCTGGTGACACCGAAACAGGAGAAATAAAACTAAAAGATCACTCAGACTTCCTACTTTGAAAAGTTAAAAGTTACAAATAAAACAGAGAAACAAACCAGCCAAGTTCATTTAAAAATAAATAAATAAATAAAAGGATGTTCAAATAGTTCAATAAAAATGTTCTTAAGATCACGTCCAGCTCCTATGCAAAGAATATCAGGATCTCAGTACTTAACTTATATTCTTCCGTGATCGTCTCTATGTTCGGTTCAACAAATATGGCGACACTGCCGGTGGTTCAAAGCTTCGGAGGATAGTGAAATACACATGTTGACGTCTCGACTCGTACTGTTTATTGTTTTTTGTTTTTTTAATGCCCCGGTGACGTCAGAGGCCAAACACTTTTACAAAATATATTCTTGTAATAAATAAGCTAAAACTGTGCATATAAAAATGAACAAAAATAAAATTAAAAGTATAAAATAGAAATTACAAGAAAATAAAATACAATAACTAAAATGAACGAATAAACACTATATGTAAAAATGCTTCCCCTACAACTTAAACTGAAAACTAAGTAAAAACGAGACCTTAAAACTTTACTTAATGTTAAAAAAAAACTAAAATGAATAAAAGCTGAAGATAAAAGGGTCATAAAAATGTCTCGTTGTTAAATCATAAATAAAAACGCTCAGAGAAAACACACAATAAAAAGGGGAAACTAAAATAAAACAATAAAAGTAAATAAAATTGAGAAAAACAACCCAAAACCGAGGTGAGACACGTGAGACAATCCTCCAGCACGGCAGTCAGAGCGGGAGAGCGGAGAGGATAAGATGCAGCATCCAAGACCACCTTACACCATCCATTTCTCCACAGATCGAGTTGGAGGTCGAACACTGACCCAGCCTGTGGATATAGGTCAGGGAAAGACGGAGCTCTTTGACCTCGGTGGCCAGTGGGTCGGGACGAGCCAGAAACACGTTATGAACATATTACGAGAGCTGGGCCTTGAAACATATCCTCAGTGAGTTTTTTATTTGTTTATTTTTTGTTTCTTAGCTTTTCAATTTCTTTTCCTTTTTTATACTTTAATTTAAAGTATGGATTTTTTTATGAATGGGGATATATTTTGTATTTGTATAAAGGGAGGTGTTGATTTTAAAAAACAGTAATATGATGACATAAATAAAGCCATTTAATACTTGATGTTGATAGTGAACACTGGGTTTTATTTAATTTCATTCATACATGAATTAATCCATTCATTTATTCATCTATCTATTGTTTATTCCCTGCTCTTCTCTTTCCTCCTTGTCTGCCAATACATGTCTCTCACTCTATCTTCCTTTTCCATAACTTCCATAATAAGAATTTTTCCATAATTTCATATGATTTTCCACATAAAGACCCATAAATGAGGCAAGACTATTGCACACGCAACATCCCTAACGAGTCTCTTCTGCCACAGATACACGACAGGCACAAAGGTCATGCAACTGGGTTCAGACAGTAAGATTAGAACCTACAACAGCGACATTCCTCCGTTGGGTTCAATCAGGGGTCTGGTTCAACTGCAGCTCTTTATATGGAAGGTGGGTTTCTTAGGCCGTGCGTTGTTGTTAATTTTTCAGCAGCTTCATCATAATCATAATTTTCGTCTTCATTTTCATCTTCATCACCACCACCATCACCATCATCATTATCATCACCCTCGCCATCACCACCACCACCACCATTGCCACCATCACCCCACCCGCCCTCCTCCCTACCCCCACCCTTATCCCTCTCACCCGAAATTTTCTTCCCTTCCTCCCCTCAGGTCGAGAAAATGGCCGCCCAAACTCCTACTCAAGATCCTTACGGGAGTCCCCATGCACAGGAACTCGACGGCCTCACAGTCGATTCCTTCGCAAGAAAACATCTGTCGTGCGAAGCGGCCCTTCAGGTTGTTGATGTTGCTTGCAAGGTTGCTTTCGGTGAGTGGAAAATGGGAGAGAGAGAGGGAGAGGGAAAAGGAGAGGGATGAAGAAAGGGAGAAGGGAGAGACAGGGAGAGAGAGAGGGGGGGGGGGAGGGCGGGAGAGAGAGAAGGGGAGGGAGAGGGGAGAGGAGAAATTGATTGTGTGTATGTGTATTTTTGTGTTGTTAAGCATGATGTGAGTAAAACAATAATTCTTGAATAATATCATCAATGAAATAACTATATGCGTATCTTTTTAAAAGCCTTTAAATCTTTAGAAATATTATAGTGAAAAATTAGTAAATATAATAGTTGGTACATCAATAAACCGCATGCAAAGGAATCGTTCCAATTCTCGACAGGCGCGGACGCGACCAGGATATCCGCCATTTTCTTTCTGGCTTACTCGAACGCGGCAGGAGGCGTCATGAAGATTCTAGAAGCCAAGGAGGAAACCGCTCAGGAAGCCAGGGTCAAGGTAAGGGTTTTTTCTTATTCTTTTTTTTCTTCTTCTTCTTCTTCTTCTTTTTCTGCTTCCCTCCTCCTATTTCTCCTCCCCTTCTCTTTTTTTTTTTTTTTCTTTTTCTCGTCCTCCTGCTCCTCTTCATCCCTCTACTCCTGTTTTTCCTCCTGTAAAGAAAAACAGAGAAAAGGAAAACAGACCTTAATAGCTATATTATATTTCATTTATCTATTCATTCTTTACTCTAACTATTCACTGCTATTACAGGGAGGAACTCAGCAAATATCCCAAATCCTGGCCCAAAGACTGGGAGACGAAATCGTTTTCTTGAGTCACCCCGTAGTTCGCTTGGACCAAACCGAAGAAAACGTGAAAGTGACGACAGAAAACGGGAAGACGTTTGAGGCCCGGCGGGTGATCATGACAGCGCCGCCAAACATGATAATTAAGATGAAATTTTCACCTCCTCTTCCTCCTTCCAAAAAACTTATCTACGAGAACTTACCTATTGGACACCTTATCAAGTTTGTTGTGGTTTATGATAAGGTAAGAGATTTTAGCGATAAGGTGTTTTAAAGATCCCTTAGCTACTGTAAACTGTTTGATTATTTTTTGTCAAAATTTTAAACGGATGATAGCATTGCTTATCTCATATGGGATTATTAGCGAAGAGGATAATAATAATATAAATGAAAGAATAATAATAATAAAACATAATCATGATAACAATGGCAGTAATGATAAGGATAATCATAGAAATAATATGAAAATAATATTGATAACAATCATATCAAACTATTATGAATAGATGAAATATTTACAAATAAAGTAATATGAAGTAATTAACAATAAGAAATAATTATAAAAAATAGCGGTAGCAATATTAAGGATAATTATAAAGAGAATAGCATAACAATAATAAAGATAACAATGGCAATCAATATGATCAAACGATGAAATATTTATGAATAAGAAAAGCAGAGCAAAGAAATAAAAAATAAAAAATAAAAACACCCAAAAGATCTCGAACCAACCACCCGTACTCCCGTATCCCCTTCCAGGCTTTTTGGCGGGAAAACGGCTTCTCGGGCGAGGTCGTGAGCAATGGCGGCTCCGAGAGACTTCCTTCGGGTTTGACTCGAGGGCCCCTAAGCGTGTGCTTCGACGCCACCACCCACAGAGGCACGCCGGCTATTGTGGGGTTTATTGCGGCCCGCCAGGGGGTCGAGTGGCAGGGAAAGACGGTGAGGATGTGGAGGGAGAGGTGGGGAGAAGAGGAGAGGGGGGGAGAAGCGGTGATAACAGACTTTTGTGTGTGTGTGTGTGTGTGTGTGTGTGTGTGTGTGTGTGTGTGTGTGTGTGTGTGTGTGTGTGTGTGTGTGTGTGTGTGCATTGGCAGTTGAATTATATGGAATTGTTGAGGAGTATACAGATATTTTTGTGTCATAAAAACGCGATGTCTATTCTGTTATTCATCAGTCTTTTTCTTCCCTATTCTTTATCCCTCATCTTCCCTCGCCCCCTTTCCCTACCCTCTACCCCTCAACACACTTTTTTATCTTTCTCCCATATCCTCCTTCCTTTCTTCCTACCCTTATACTTCTTCCCAACACCTCCTCCCCTCCCTTCTTTCCTTTACCTCACCCCCTACCTTCCCCCAACCCTTATACCCCTCCCCACCACCTTCTACATCCCCTCCTTAACCCCCCCCTACTCTTCTACGTTCTCCCCTACTTTCCCACCTTCTCTCCTTCCCTTCTACCTTTCTCCTACCCCTCCTTCTTACTTTCCTTATCCCTTTCTACTTTTCCCCTACCCTCCCCACTCCTTTCTGTCTTTCCCCTTCCCTCCTTACCATTCCCCCCTCCCCATACTTTTTTACCTTCCACCCCTCCCTACCTCCTGCCCCCCCCTCTCAACAGATAGACGAACGAAAATCAGCTGTTTTAGAAGGCCTGGCGGACACCTTGGGATCCTCCGCCAGGCACTGCGTATCCTACACTGAGAAGATCTGGGCCGAGGAACCCTATATAGGAGGGTGTCCTGTGGTCTTCGGAGTCCCGGGGGTGTCCTTCGCTCTGCCGCACCTACGCTCGCCCTTTGACAGGTGGGTGAGGGAGGTGGGTGGCAGGGGGCGGGGGTGTGGGAGGGAGGTGGGTGGCTGGGGGCGGGGGAGTGGGAAGGAGGGTGGGTGGCTGGGGGCGGGGGTGTGGGAGGGAGGTGGGTAGTGGGGGAGGTGTAGGGAGGGAGGGGGAGTAGATGGGTGGAGGATGAGAGTGTGGGAGGGCGGTGGTTGAAGGAGGGAGGGGGAGTAAGTAGGCAAAGGAGGTGGGGAGGGAGGGGGTAGAAAGAAGGGTTTAGGGTGAAAGAGTGGGAAGTAGGTGGGTGAAGATGGTGTAAGTGAGTGGATGGGAGGTAATATAATAATAATAATAATAATAATAATAATAATAATAATAATAATAATAATAATAATAATAATAATAACATAACAATAATAATCATCATCATCACAACAGAAATAAAATTATTATTATTATAACTATTATAATAATAATAATAATAACAACAATACGATTGATAATAATAATAATAATAATGGTAGTAGAAGTAGAAGAAGTAGTAGTAGCAGTAGCAGTAGGTCTAATAGAAGCCCTTTGGAATTGAAACTGAGACCACAACAATCTTAAGAATATGACGATGACAGCGATAACGAAGACGCTAACCTTACCGCGCCACCCTTTTCCAGACTACATTTCGCCGGAACAGAAACAGCGACGGAATGGACGGGTTACATCAGCGGAGCCATCCAGTCAGCTGATCGAGCGGCCGCCGAGGTGCTGAAGAACCTGCGACCTGAACTGGTGTCTGAGAACGACCTGAAGGGAACCTGTTACGACCCTGAGAGGTATGGATGGAGAGTGAAGAGGGTAGGAGGAGGGAGGAGGGGTTGTAGGGGTGGGGGGGAGAGGGGGTAGTAAGGGGAGGAAGGGGATAGTGGGGGAAGCAGGGGGAAGTAGGAGTAGGAGGGCGAGAAGGATGTTTGCAGGAAGGAGGGGGGAGAAGGGGTAATGGGGATGGATAGGGAGGGAAAAGGGGATGTAGGGGAGGGGGCAGACGGTGTAGTGGGGAGGGATAGGGAGGGAAATGGGGTGCAAAAGGGAGATAAGGAAGGGTGAGCGAAGGTGGAGAGAATAAGGAGAGTAGAGGGAGATATAGAGGCAGTAGGAATGGAAGGGGAAGAAGTAGAGCAAGGAGAGGAAGTGGATGAAGAAGAGGAAAAAGGAGAGGGAGGGAGAAGGAGAGAGAGGGAGAACGAGAGATAGAGGAAAGGAGAGAGAGAGAGAACAGGGGAGAGAAAAGAGAAAGAGAGAGAGCAGGGGAGAGAAGAGAGAGAGAGAGAGAGAGTGAACTATAAAGATATTTTCTATGCAGGGACCCATACATACTGTAGAAAATATGAATGTTAACTACATATGGATATATTGCACAATCATATTTCACATTAAATATGTTATGAAACTTTTTTTTAAAAGAATCCAACATTATTCTATATTTTCAGCATTCTTGGAGAAAACAGGACAAAACAAAAGCTACAGTCAGACAGCTACTTCATTATTGTAGCAGTCTTCATAATGGTTATTAGTATTGTATATGCTGCATTGTTATAGATAAAATATTGAACTAAATGTATTCTAATTACATGATTTTCTTATATAATATTGCGTAGAATATAAGGAGATAATCTAAGATACAAATCCTACTTCTGGTTAATGTTTTAAGAATATATTTTTATGGCTAAAATGAGCATTCATTTGTTCATTCATTGTCGTTAGTGCAGTTTATATAATTGCAATTCTTTGCTACTGCTGACCACTATATTGATGAAAGGTTCCTTAAATATGTAAACTTTGCAAAAATAAGTACATTTGCCAAGGACAAAGATATAGTACATGTAGCTGCATGTGTGTGAACAATACATAACATAAATTTTAAGTCAGTACTTCTAAGCATTAATATGTTCCTAGTATACAAAAAATATGTATATCATATGTAGTATGTAATTTGATCATATTTTAAGATATCCTTCATACTTCAGTTGTAAAACATGGTAAGTAGAAACACCATTTATATTTCACATTTTATTTATATTTATCTTTTCAGAAAAATATTAGGATACTTATAATCCTGTGTACAATTGGGCAGTGCAGAGTACAGTATATATATGAGAATATGTGACATACATATAAAATAGGTTTGTTTGTTTTTGGCCAGTTTATTATCATCAAGCA